GCCATATAGTATAATAAATACATTTATTATATATAATATATAATAAATAAATAAATAAATAAATAAATAAATATTTTATGTATAAATGCATGCATAAGGTATATATAAACAAAAAAAAATTGCATGCGTTACTTTTTTTATTTATTTGTCTCTTTTTGTGTCTCCTTTTGTCTCTTTTTATTTCTTTTTATTCTTTTTCTTTATTTATTCCTTTTTTTTGTCTCTTTTTTTTCCTTCCTTTTTTATATCTTTGTTTATTTTTGTACCTAACAATTAAATCATCATTGTCTTCTTTTTCTTCTCTCCTTTATCCCGAGGGTTTAGGGTTTAGGGTTTAGGGTTTAGTGTTTAGGGTTTAGGGTTTAGGGTTTAGGGTTTCGTTCAAAGTCCTTCCCAGAGCAGCAGCTGCCGCAGCAGCAGCACAACAGCAGCAGCAGCAACAGCAGCAAGTCCTATTCGTCTAACTGGTGCTGCTGCTGCAGTTCCTGTTTTATTAGGAAGAGGTTGTTGTAGCAGCAGCATGTTGCTGCTGCTGCTGCTACTGCTGCTGCTGCTGCTGCTGCTGCTGGTGCAGTTGCTGCTGCTGCTGCGGCGGGCCAACCCCACAGGGGGTGGCAACTCTTCAGAAGACCGCCCAAAGACGAAGGCGCTAAATAAACCCATGGCAGTAACCCTAAACCCTAAACCCTAAACCCTAAACCCTAGACCCTCGGCTAGATTCAATGATTGTATCGAGAGGGAGGAAAGAAATGGCCTTATAATAAAATATAAATAATTGTAATTATTTATAATTATTTATTTTATTTAATTTATTTATTTTATTATTTATATTTCCTTTTATTATAAATGTATATAATACACACGAGTACCCTGTACAGCTAACATGGGGGGCCCCCCATGGAGGCAGCAGAAAGGAGCAGCAAATGGGGGTAAAAGGAGTAATAAAGGAAATAAAATAAATAAATAAATTAAATAATTTATTAATTATATTTATTTTTATTTATTTTTATATTTTGTTTACATAAATACACTGCAGGTCACTTGGGGGGCCCCGAGTCACTTGGGGGCCCCCAGTCACTTATGGGGGGCCCCCAAGGGGATGGGGGGCCCCCCCCATAAAGAAGAAGATATATATGTTTATATTAATATATGTATAAATATGTATTTTTATATGTGTGTACATATATTTATATATTTATAAATATATTTGTATATGTTTTATATGTATATATACGCATATAAACAGACATTTAGCTGTATACACACTGACTGCGACTGTAAACCCTAAACCCTAAACCCTAAACCCTTAAATTAGGACACTTCAATTCTGGTCTTGAGTCCCATTGTCTGCTTCTAGCTCACCCCACCCCCTACGCACACCTTACACCCTAAACGCTAAACCCTAAACCCTAAACCCTAAACCCTAAAAACCCTTTTCTGCTACAAATTGTAAACTGACATTACTCAAAAACTGTCGAGACAGTCCAGATCCTCGGGGCCCCACATCTGCGGATCGGGTGGGGGGGGCCCTGGGGGCCCCGAGGTTCCAGGGGCCCCTGGGCCAGTGGGGGCTCCTGGGGGCCCCCCCGGGGCCCTGTTGGCCTGCTGCCAGTACCCAGAAGGCTGCAATCCCTGTGTACCCCCTGCAGCAGGAGGAGAAGAAGCAGCAGGGGGGCCCCCAAAGGAAGGGGGCCCACTCCCTCGAAAATACATGCTCTGTGATACGCATGCATCGGTACCCATTTGGGGCCCTCCCAAATTCCCTGGGGGGCCCCCAGGGGGGCCCACACCAAAGGGGCCCCCACCAAAGGGGCCCCCAGTATCAATTGGAGCATCAAGGGGGCCCCCAACAGATATAAACTCTTCCTCTGCTGTCTCCTCTGCTGATAGGAGACAAGCAGAAGAAGAGACACCTGGTGGTGGGCTCCCTCGGGTATCCTCTGTATAGAAAAGAACAAACCCTAAACCCTAAACCCTAAACCCTAGAATGTAAACCCAAAGACTGTAAACCCTAAGGCTTATGGCTCGACAGGAGGCCTAATACAGTCTGTAAACCCTAAACCCTAAACCCTAAACCCTAAACCCTTACCCTTTAATAAATGGGTCAATTGGTTCTCACAAAGAAACGCCCGCACTTCTGCCACAAACACTTGCCCGTACTTTTGTCCCTGTCAAGCATACCCAAACCCTAAACCCTAAACCCTAAACCCTAAACCCTAAACCCTAAACCCTAAAAGCCCTAAAAAACCTAGAAAACCCTAAAAAGCGCTAAAAACCCTAAAAAGAAAACCGCAAACCCTAAACACGATAAAGAACCCTAAACCCTAAACCCTAAACCCTTGTTTTTTTTTTATTTATTACCTTTTTGCCTCCTTGTAATTCCTTGAAAGGAAGGGTTTGTAATTGAGCAAGAGAAGAAGGAAGAGAACGAACAACAGCATCTATTGCTGCATTTGTTGCTATTGTTTTTGTTGTTTTTAGCTTCCCTTTTTTTGCTAATTCTTCTCTTAATAATATTAATCGTCTCCTTAGTCTATCCTCTAAATTATGACCTAATATACAACCACCAGAGGGGCCCCCCGAGGAGGGGCCCCCCGCGGTGGGGCCCCTTGGGGGGGCCCCTTTGGGACCACCCACCATGGTTGTACCCTGAAGGGCACCAAAATTGGGATGGGGGGCCCCTAATGAAGAGGGGGGCCCCACCTTGGCCTTCTTAGATGGGTACGGAGGGGGGAGGGAAGAAGTACTACTGTTGTTGTTGGCTTTGGCACTCCTTTTAGACGATCCCGATCCCGATCCCGATCCCGGTCCCACAACCGATCCCGATCCCGATCCCGGTCCCACAACCGATCCCGATCCCGATCCCGATCCCCATGGAGGCTCCTCTAATGTTATTGATTGTACTAATTGGGCAGCATTGTCTGCATGCAGCCCCAACTCAAGGAAGGCAGTAAAGGAACCTGGCTGATTAGGGGAGGGGACACATCTTTCTCTTAATACCTATGCAAGAAAAGAAGAGACAAGGGGACAGGAAAAGGAGACAGTAAGAGGAAACAGGAAAAGGAGACAGGAAAAGGAGACAGGAAAAGGAGACAGGAAAAGGAGACAGGAAAAGGAGACAGGAAACAGACAAGAACAGGACACTAGAAGGGGGGAAATAAATCAAATAAAAGGAGACAGTAAATAAATAAAAAGGAGACAATAAAATAAATAAAGAGGAGACAGTAAATAAAAAAAAAGGAGACAATAAATAAAGAACAAGGAGACAAAAAAAAAGGAGACAGTAAATAAAGAAAAAGGAGACAAAAAAAAATGAGACAAAAAAAGGAGACAAAGAAAAAGGAGACAATAAAAAAAAGGAGAAAAAAAAAGGAGACAAAAAAAAAGGAAACAAAAAGGAGACAAAAAAGGGGAGACAATAAAAGGAGACAATAAAAAAAAGGAGACAAAAAAGGAGACAAAAAAAAGGAGACAAAAAAAAGGGAGAAAAAAAAAGGAGACGATAAAAAAAGAGAAAAAAAGGAGACAAAAAAAGAGACAAAAAAAAAGGAGAGAGAAAAAAAAGGAGAGAGAAAAAAAAGGAGAGAGAAGAAAAAGGAGAGAGAAAAAAAGGAGAGAATATACCTGATGAATAATAAGTGCCTTAATAAGTTTAGCAGCAGCAAGAGGAGACCATTGGTGTCTCTGTAGGCAGGCGAATTCTTTTTGTTTATTTATTATTTCTTTATTATTATTATTATTATTATTATTTATTTGTATTTTTTTCTTTATTTTCTTCCCTAATGATGCATCACGAAGAGCAGCAAATGTTATGCATGCACCAGCAGCAGCAGCAGCACGAACTAATGCCGTCACCTGCAGCAACAGCAGCAGCAGCAGCAGCAGCAGCAGCAACAGCAACAGCAACAGCAGACACAAATAATTAAATAAAAGGAGACACTTAATTAAATAAAAGGGAGACACTTAGTTAAATAAAAAGGAGACAGAAAAGGAGACAAAAAAGGAGACAAAAAAGGAGACAAAAAAGGAGACAAAAAGGAGACAAAAAGGAGACATTTTTCTTACCTCTGTAGCTAGCTGGGCACAAGGGACAAGAATAGAGGAGACATAAGACAATCAAATAAAAGGAGACAATTAATTAAATAAAAGGAGACAAAAAGGAGACAAAAAAGGAGACAAAAAGGAGACACTTACCTCTGTAGCTAGATGGGCACAAGGGACAAGAATAGGGGAGACAGTTCGTCTCCTCTGGCAATTATCACACTCTGTCTTGCATACACCACAAAAGTCCTCGCCAAAGTGCTGCAGCAGCAGCAGCAGCAGCAACAGCAGCAGCAGCAGCAGCAACAGCAGCAGCAGCAGCAGCAGCAACAGTAGCAACATTAGTAGTAGTAGGTACTACAGGTCTAGTAGATGGAGCAGCAGATAAGGGAAGAGGAGACAAAAAGGAGACAAAAAGGAGACAAAAAGGAGACAAAAAGGAGACAAAAAAGGAGACAAAAAAGGAGACAAAAAGCAGACAAAAAGGAGACAAAAAGGAGACAAAAAGGAGACAAAAAGGAGACAAAAAGGAGACAAAATAAAAGGAGACAATAAGAGGAAACAAAAGAAGATAATAAAATAAAAGGAGACAATAAAAGGAGACAAGAGGAGGAGACAATAAAACGAGACAAAAAAGGAGACAAAAAAGGAGATAAAAAAGGAGACAAAAAAGGAGACAAAAAAGGAGACAAAAAAGGAGACAGTTCTTACCCTTAATATAAATACTCTTCTGTATCCATAGTATATACATATAAAATACATAAAAAAAGAGAAAAAAAAGGAGAAAAAAAAGGAGACAAAAAAAGGGGACAATAAAGGAGACAAAAGGAGGCACAAGTAGACAAAAAAGGAGACAAAAAAGGAGACAAAAAAAGGAGACAGTTCTTACCCTTAATATAAATACCCTTCTGCATTCAAATAATTCTTCACAGTATTGTAACATTCGTAATAAATCACAAACATTTTCTTTTTTTTCTTCTCCTCTTCTTCCTTCGCTAAATAAATTAATAAATAAATAAATAAATAAATAAATAAATAAATAAATAAATAATATTATTAATATATTTATTATGTATATATATACTTATTATATCTTATTGCTAGATAGATAGATAGATAGATATATAGATGGTTGGTTAGGTAGTCAGCTAGCTAGCTAGCTAGTTGGCTAGCTAGTTGGCTAGCTAGTTGGCTAGCTAGTTGGCTAGCTAGTTGGCTAGCTAGTTGGCTAGCTAGTTG